TAAAAAACAAGCATGAAGAAATAACACATATTAATTAGATTGTGCAAAAAAAAATAATGCTTTCTTTAACAAAAACTGGTGGCCCCCTCGGGGGTGGAGAGTGGAACACCATTGCAGGCCCAAAGGACCTGGAGATCTGCCAAAAAATAACATTGGCCTCCAAGCTCGCCAGTATCCTGACTACGGGACTACAGGAGGTCACCACCTCCTGCCTCTCAGGGCCCACCACCGCACACAGACACAGATCCCGCACAGAGACACACATGCACACATACACTCCAAGACGGAGAGAGAGACACACACACAGAGATACAAAGAAAGAGACACACACACTCACAGACACACACTCACAGACTGAGAGAGACACATACTCGCAGACAGAGAGAGACAAACCCACATTCATAGACAGAGAGAGATACACAGACACACACAGGAGGGAGAGACATACACACTCACATAGAGACACTCACAAACACATGTACATTCAGAGGAGAGACACACAATTTCAACAGCGGGGCCTCTGGATGAGCAAAGCCCATTTCCTGCTCATGCCGCAGTGTCCGGAGTCGCTCCACCCATAGTAGCATCGGATAAACAGCTGGCAGCAGCACGCAGGGGCCCAGGGCCAAGGAAAATTAGATTTTTCAGATTTTTAGTGGAGGGCGTTGTTTTTAGCAGATTCACGGAAAAAATTGCGGCCACACTATTCTATTGGCGCAGCTCATAGCTCATTCTTTGAACAATTGAGATCATCCATATTGCCCTCCTCTACAATGCCTCTAGGGACGTGACGGCTGTTGTATTCAGTAATCTAGGTACAGTCTGAATAGAGCACTAATACAGCTTGAGTATGACATCTAGGGATTTAAACTCGAATGATTTACCAATATAGCACAGCATCTTGTTTAGTACTTCCTCACCTGTTTTGACATAGCGAGCAATGAGTTAGTTAACTGACATCCCAGATAGTTTCAGCTTGCCCATTTTGTAAGTTACCATACAGTACATATATACAATATTTATACAGCACCTTTCACTTTTATACAGATGTCTCAAAGCGCTAAACAGTGCTGGACGGGCACTTGAGGAGATGGTGGGTGCCAAGGGTCATGGGAAGAGCAAAGATGACCAAAAGCACAAAGAGATAAATTTTGAGTTCTATTGCATTCTTGGGAGTACATGTGTTTCGCATTCTTACTTACCATATGGATCAGGAAGAATAACTAAACTAACTCAGTAAAGACTGAAGTAAAGAAGAATGAAAGAAGGAAAATAATATAGAACTCTAAAGGGGAATTAATTACATGTACATTGACGACTGGGTTGGAAAAATATAGAGTTGATATTGTCATCTTGACAGCTGTGACAAACGTTGCAAATATGAGAGATTGTGTGCAGCCCTTACTGCAAAAGGTTAAATGTGAGGTTCTGCTCTGTAGCCAACATGTCATCACATAGATACATACAGTGGCACCTTTGTGAGAATAATGTGATGTCACATGTGATTTGCAAAGAGGGTTATCACTAGTTTAAACTTTATTTAGATCAAGCACTTGTAGAAAATCATCAAGAAATCAAATTTTATATTCAGATATTTTTCAAAAAGCCACCACGAGGCAATGGGCCTAAAAGCCTTCAGTACTGTAAATATCTACGGTTTGATAAGTATTGTAGTTTTCTATCAAATTTGTTCAGTAGGGATGCTGTTCCAGTCCTAATATTGCACTCATGGGCAGGTTAAAAAGCAAAGTTCAAATTTTTACTTCGTCCTTTCACAATATCAGCCCTAAATTACAGCATCTATAGCATTTCTCAAACCATGTACAATGTCTTCGCCACCCTTCTTGCAACCCATACTACATGTTCATTGTGCTCTGAATAAAGAAATACTTCCTAAATCCTAATATGCCCTCAGTAACCTTTTATGCAGATTTGTTCTGATGCCCAAGCACGTCTAAACATACTGTTCCACATTTACAATCTCTTTTCTGTTAATGATCTTATATACAAAGTCCCTTCTTAGGTGCCTCTTCTCAAAAGCTTAAGTGCCCTGGCTTATTTAGTCATTCTTCACAGCTCATTCCTTTAATACTGGAGAGCGTAATCATCCAAACTGAACAGTTATAATCCAATTCCTGTCTCAATACAAAAGACTCAATCAAAGCAAGTGAACTATTGGGCAGGGCAGGGGAAGATGCACATTCCCTCCTGCCTGTCAGTTTAACAGAGGATTTAACAATAACAACAACGCAAAAAGGACTAGGTTCAGTCCAAAGATAGATACTTAAATCTCAGACCATTGGTAGCTCTTCCTTTCATTTTCAATATTTAGGGGTAGGAAAATGACAATACAATACATTTCATAACCATACAGTAAGATGGTGGAGTCCTGTAGCTCAGTGGTTAGTTAGAGCACTCGCTTTGCAAGCGAGACACCTGGGTTCAATTCCAGGCAGGGCAAAACCTTGAGCAAGTTTCCTTACTCCACACGCCTAATAATAATTCCTCCAAAACAAAACAATAATACATTGGTCATTTTCAATCCACGACTGTTTGTGGGACACTGCTGTGTGCAATTGGCTGCCGTGTTTCGCCCATAAATATAGTCAATTCACTTTACAGCATATTCTGTGAAGCACTTTGAGACGTCGAGAAGACGTGAAAAGCGCTATATCAAATGCAAGGATTATTATTATTATTATCAGCCTTGATGCTTTCACTTATCTAGCTTGGTCCATAACACAGAATCTAGATGGTTCCTAATCAGAACACAATAATTTGGGATAAACTCTTTGGTCTTCCTTAATATCTTACATGTTGCTGCACCTCTATTTTAGTATTATTGCAGTCCAAAGAGTCATCAAAGAATAATAGTATAACTGTACTCCTTTCCCCTCCTACCACCATCACCTTCCCCATTAGTGAGAGGCCCCGGGCGGGGTGAAACCTCAGGCAAGTTTCCTTACTCCACACACATACGTTTCTGTTTACCTAGCAGTAAGTAGGAACCCTACTTAGTGCTCGGAATTCAAGATATCCTTACAAAAAAATAATAATACTAATTTGGTCACTCAATCCACAACTGTTTGTGGGACACTGCTTAACGCGATTGGCTGCCGTGTTTCACCCACAAAATACAGTCAATTCACTTTACAATATATTCGGTGGAGGGCTTTGAGACGTCTCAACGACATAAGATGCTCTATCAAATGCAAGGATTATTATTATTAAAATCTGCTGAATACTGCATTCAAGCAAAACATCATTTCTCAACTGAGGTAATTAGAGCATGAACTTTAAACTGCGGAAAAGGTAAATTTTACACCACGTAAAATTCTTCTGATATATGCCATTATTATCATCATCACACCACTCCCCACCTCAATCATCAACAGGTTCATAAAAATTAACTCATCCTCATCAATTTTCTGCTACGTAACATATCTTCTCACCCCAACAATATTTTATCTTTCAATATAAAATCAATCCATGTGATTCTAGGGAAAATAATTTGACGCTCAAAATATGCATAAATATAAATATGTAAAGGTATAAATATCACCAGTTATCATAGGATACAACTTGAAGGCTCCAGTGGTGCAATCACATAATTTGAAGTGAAACAGTACTGCATAATGAGATGAATGAGATAAGAGTGCAAGCTAAACGGAGAAAGTGCATATTTTTTTAACTGGTTCTTAATTCACCAAACAAAAAGTATCACTTGACCTCTAGGGACTTGACGGCTGTTATAATAATAATCCTTGCATTTGATATAGCGCTTTTCACGTCGGGAGGACGTCCCAAAGCGCTTCACAGAACACACTGTAAAGTGAATTGACTGTATATTTGTGGGCGAACGCGGCAGCCAATTGCGCACAGCAATGTCCCACAAACAGTCGTAGATTGAAAATGACCAATTTATTATTGTTTTTGGTTTTGGAGGTATTATTATTAGGCTCTGTGTGGAGTAAGGAAACTTGCCCAAGGTTTCGCCCTGACCTGCCTGGAACTGAACTCAGGTCTCTCACTTACAAAGCGAGTGCTCTCACCACTGAGTGCTCTCACTCACCTGTTGTATTCAGTAATCTAGGTACAGTCTGAACAGAGCACTAATACAGCTTGAGTATGACATCTGGGGATTTAAACTCGAATGATTTACCAATATAGCACAGCATCTTGTTTATTACTTCCTCACCTGTTTTGACAGCATCTATACCATCCTGACTTGTCTAATACTCCAGAAATATTGTCTCCTACCTGACACAACACGTGTGCCAGTCACAATTCTCCAACTTACCAACCATGGTAATTACCTCCTTGATTAGTCATTCTTAGAAAACATTTGGTTCTGGAAAATCTCCATCCTTTGAAATTTGACTAACGAGGGATAGTTTTTTTTTGGAAAAAAAACTGCTTCAGAGACAGACCACAGTTGAATTATTTTTCCAAAAAAAACCAAACCTGACCCAAGCCACCCTCAAGCCACCAATCCACCTGGACAAATACTTCAATATTTTGAGCGAAAAACAAGGCACTAAAAGTGGTCGCTGGTGAAGAGACCGCCGACAACCTTCAGCATCAGCCCTCACTGACATTGACACACACACACACACACCACCGTTTGGTGCTGCGAACCAAACAGTCTACCGTCAGCGCAGCGTTAACACCTCACAGTTTAAGAATTATTCGAGGAAGAAAAAACAAAGGCGCATTTAAATACGTGAATAAATACACAGAGAGAATAAATAAAACCGAAGCCTCTCTAATGACAGTTACGGCCTGAAGGGCGCCCGGTCCGTGTCGGCGCTTCAAGAATGATTTAAAAACAAATAAACCGCATAATCGTTATTTATTCCACATCACATTTATTATTATTATTATTGTCATTATTATTATGGGGGGGGAGGGGTCGGGGGGAGGGGGAGGGAGGTAGTTGAAGTAAAATCAACTTACGACCTGCAGCAAGAAGGTAAGTATGAGGTGAAGGACACACGTACCCAAACCATCACAGTGGTCGGTATCAGTGACAGTGACTCGCCGCTCCTGAAATGGCGCCCAACAAAGAGCGCGTCACGTGCCCGCAGCGGCCCGCCCGATTGGTCAGCATCCAAGGCGGTAACCAGGGCGACCACATCCTGCCCCGGCCCGTCTCCATGGCAACGCAAAGGATGGGCTGGACCTCAGTCTGAGGAGCTTTCAATTCCCACTCACTCACCCACCCAGGCATTCCCTGCTGACCCTCCTGCTGTAAACCTGGCCCAGTGGGTGTGTCCGCCAGGCACAGGTGGTGGCTGGCGTTCCCGCCGCGGTTTGTGTGTTTGAACCCCGACGTCGGATCATCAAATGGTCTACTCGTGACACTCCGATGCAGTGCTGGGGGGAGGGGGTGGGGTGGGGGAGTCTTGCACTGTCGCAGGTACCTTCCTTTCGATGAGACGGGAGTTTATTCCGTTGTCCTAGTCAACAATCCCCCATATAAAATTGGTCATTTGTTTCATTCCTGCTTGTGGGGTATTTGCACAAATACTGAATACAAATACAAATATTGCCTGTCCGACATCAAGTCCTGGACGAGGGACAACTTTCTCCAGCTGAACGTCAAGATCCTCAACCTCACTTTCAAGGCCATCCATCCTTGCCCCTCTCACCTGCTGACTCCCTATCAACCTGCCCACTCCCTCTGTTCAGCAGGCTCTGGCCTGCTCCATGTCTCCCACCCGACCCGCCCTACCATCGGTGGCCGAGCTTTCAGCCTCTCTGCCCCCACACTCTGGAACTCAATTTCACAGTCCCTTCGCCTCGCTTCCTCTCTTGCCTCCTTCAAAGCTGGTCTCAAGACCCTCCTCATTGATCGTGCCTTCAATTGCCCTCCCACTTCTCTGCCTTCCCTCATCCCTACCACACCCCTTCCCATGCTCGGGTCCTGACCCCTGACTATCCAGCACCTTGGAACGTCCTCCTGACGTGAAAGGCACTCTATAAATGTAATTTTGTTGTTTCTTTTGTTGTTGCACAGATTTGCTTAGGCTGTACAGTACAAAAAGAAGCCATTTGGCCCAACCAGTCCATGCCAGTGTCTTTACTATACATGAGTTGCCACCCGGTCCTTACTCTCTACCATACCCTCGTCGTTCATTGCTGTCTGCAAATAATAATAATAATCCTTGCATTTGATATAGCGCTTTTCACGTCGGGAGGACGTCCCAAAGCGCTTCACAGAACACACTGTAAAGTGAATTGACTGTATATTTGTGGGCGAATGTGCCTTCTACATTCACCTAGAAATACAAAGGTCCATCACTTCACATCAAATCCTATGAAATGCTTTGAGACATCCTCCCAATGTGAAAGGTGCTATACCAAATGCAAGGATTATTATTATTATCTACCTAACTACCTGTGCCTTTGCATAGGTCTTGCCTTGTGCAAATGCATATTGATGAATGCCAATTGTCTGCCCAATAGCATAAGCAATAATTTACCAGGTTCAAAGGTTTCGTTCTCTCCTCTTCCCCACACCCAAAAAATATTTGGGTATACTTTCACTCCATCAGAATGTGTTCAATCATAATAGTTACCAAGTGTTCAGTTTGACACCAAACGCTCTTTTTGTGGGCTGTCTAGAAATTAATAAAACAAAATCTATTCTTTAGACTTATGATAGTATATGTTCTTAAGTCTTTCTGTTCAGCATAAACACAATAATATTTCTAAAAATTTATTTTCTTCAGATTATGTTTGTATCATCATACCTCTGGTTTGTCACCCACCATCAACTAACACCTGAGAGAATAATTATGCGTTATTTATTTATCCATCCATTAATCATTTTCCATGGGGCGTGGTGGTGGGGGGGGTGGTGTCAGCTGGGTGACTGACATAGGAGGAAACCAATCACCATCCTCATGAATAGCCAAACCAGACTGAGAGTTCCACATATGTATGCACCTATACATGTAAATTTCCATGTTATTTTATTTTCCATAATGCCACCACAACCATATCATTTAAGATTACATAAAACATATATTTTTCTATAAGCATTGGTATGTTACTGCAGGACTGTAAGCAGGCAAATGTGATGTTCATACATTAAAGGATAAGGAAACTGACTCAGGCAGTTGAAAGCCCATTAGCCTGATATCAAGAACATGTAGATTAAATGGAGTCCTGTAGCTCAGTGGTTAGAGCACTCGCTTTGCAAGCGAGAGACCTGAGTTCAATTCCAGGCAGGTCAGGGCAAAACCTTGGGCAAGTTTCCTTACTCCACACAGAGCCTAATAATAATCCCTCCAAAACAAAACAATAATAAATTGGTCATTTTCAATCTACGACTGTTTGTGGGACACTGCTGTGCGCAATTGGCTGCCGCGTTCGCCCACAAATATATAGTCAATTCACTTTACAGTGTATTCTGTGAAGCACTTTGGGACGTCCTCCCGACATGAAAAGCGCTATATCAAATGCAAGGATTATTATTATTATTATTAAATGGAATCCCTTCTGGAAGGCAGGTTGAAGGAATAATAGAATAGCAATAACTTAATAAGAAATACCCAGGGTGGATTTAGAATGGAGAAGATGATACCAACAGAACCATATAAATTTACAGCACAGAAGAAAGCCATTTGCTTGTCTTTGCTTGCTCTTTTAAAAGCAAACCTTTCAATCCTATTTACCAGCCCTTTCCCCATACCTTGACAAATGTCTTTGAGGATAATACAACTAACGTACACAGTGTATCCCCTAGTTTATTTCAAATTATCTGAACTTTTCAATGGAGTTCCTTCCACATGGGTCAAACACAAACACATACTGAAAACAAGCTGTTAAAAAGGGGGAACTGGCTCTTTAAATAACAGCAAAAAGTAAAACTGATTAGAAAAGCATCACACGGACATTTATGTTCGCTCAACCTTTTGTGAGAGCAAATTTGGAGCAAGTATATAAACCAGGCTGTCTGATCTGTATCATTTTGCTAGAAGAAATATCATATCACTTTTGTTTGCAAATCTGGTAACCGACTTTGCATTGCATTTTACTGGGTCCGTAATCAACAACAACAACAACTTGCATTTATAGAACGACCCTCACACAGGGTAGCGTCCCAGAGTGCTAAACAATGGTGGAGCATGACACTGAGCCGAGGGTTGGTGACCGTAGGCACAGTCAAACAGGAAGGTCTTCAGTTGCAACCTGAAAATGGGGAAGGAAAGGGGTAAGGCGGAGGGATAGAGGAAGAGTGTTCCAGAGTTTCGGGGTAAAGTGGCTAAAAGTGCTATGATCAAAAATCCACAATATTTTTTGCATTGAAAACTTAGGTGAAGGCTCAAGGCCTATTGGATAATATATCACCAAGGGTGAAAATAGTAGCTATGAAAACAGGATAAGGAAATAAAAGTGGTGATGTAAACTTGGCATTCTAATGCCTTTTGTAGGAGGAAGGGAAGAAGTTCTGCTTTCATTTTATCCTAGGAAAGAGTGAGGTGGGGTTGAAGGCAATAGGAAGAGCTTTAATTACAGTATGGTAACTTTTGGGGGTCAGCGGAGTGTTGGAAACAGGCAGGAACTCACCACCATGTTTTAACAGTGCCAAACCAGACTGAGAGTTCCATATACATATGGAAATTTCCCTGTGACTGGAATAGAATGCACTCTATCCCTAGAGAGACCACCCTGCTTACCTAATTGTGGAGAGTATTTGTAGGTTGGCTAGAGTCAAGGTTTGGGTACCCAGAAAGTGTGGATACTGCTGGAGCTTAACCAGCTAAAACCACATAGCTTGCCATGCTTAAAAGCATAGCATCCAGGTGGGCCACCCTACCCATTAGGGATTTGGCTTGCAGTATTAACAGGAGCTGAGTGGGAGGAATCCTTGCTCCAGTGACTGGTCTGCCCTTCCAAGCCCACCGACAAGCTAAGCAAGCTGATGTGTTGACAGCAGTGTCCTGGAATACTGTAGACCGACCTGACTCAGGAACCAGCCTACTGAAACTACCACAGAGCATGGACTCAATTTCAATATTCTGTCTTACTTCCAAGGAGACCATGATTTCCTCTCCCCTATGAGAGCAGTCATAAGTTGTTTGTATACCTTGAGCATAGAGGAGGAAAGGTGTTTAGAAAACCATACGGAGAGCTTGGAAGAAATGCAGAGGAAGGTTCATGCTGATTTTTCTAAATTCAGCAGATGTTGCGATTGATAACACCTACACCTTACAGTCCATAGCTCTAATAGCTATACTTCAAATGTTTGAAATTTAAAGCAAAATAGTATTACCAATTGGAACAGCTATACTAACTGCTATACAAAGTCCAGTATAAATAGGATTCATATATGGGCTAATCACCAGAGGTTCTGGATAGTACTCCATTAATACTAATTGTTAGTTATATTGTATTCAGGGAAGAGATCAGACAAGGATATAGTAGAGAAAATAAATCTACAATCTGTCAAAAATAGAAACTCATAGGCAGAACAAACAGCAGAGTGCAGGGTTTTACCACAATAATACAGAAGACTAGAATAGGGACAATATACTTTCATTATATAAAATAAAGAACATAATTCTACCTCTATTTCTGCTCCAAACATGAATATTAACTTGTATATTTTAAACAAATTGCTTATAATTTATGGATTGGAGGTACCACTTTGTATGTATTTCAAATAAATTATTAAGTTTGTGACTCTCAGCACTGGAGAGACAGTCTAGACATTATTATTTAGGTTATTTGAAGCATTTGAATTCAATTCCCTTGTTGAGTGTTTACTGAAGTCAATAAGGTAAAGATAATTAGAATTAATAATACATTACTTTAAAATATGTCTTGAATCATAAAAGTAATCCATTAAAATGCATTGAAATACTATTGTAGCTTTTGCACTTCAAGCGAATGTTAATAATATGTTTGTTACATAATCATATCAATTAGGAAATTCTAAAGCAGCATTATCCTCTTAAGAAACACGTCATGCTTTGATACAATTCAAAACGCCTAGTGTGTCAGCCTGGTTCAGTTGGTAGCACTCTTGTCTCTGAGAGGTCC